GATTAAAAAAAAGGTCAAAGAGAGAATGTTGGAGAACCTTGCAGATGACGCGTGCAACAACAAAGAGTCGTTCTGGAAATGGGAAGATCAAAGTTGAAGAAGAAAACTGTCTTTGTTACTTCTTCTGGAAATACCTGGAGTACTATAGGAAAGGAGAAGTCAATCTTGGGCAGCAGTTTTTAGTATAGCGAAGAACGTAGAAGAAGGAGGAGGTAGAAGAAGCAAGAGGCGGTGAAGACCATCACAGTACTGGAGCAAGGCTGTCCATACCATGTGAAAATGCCTATAAATATGGGTTGTGGTTCTTCAACAAGAGGCATTCCAAAATCAGAAGTTCAATCTTGTGTGAAAAGAGAGAGCTTGTTAATTAGAGAGAAATTTTGTGGGAAAAATTCTCCTCGGATGTAATTGGGTTTTGGGTGAGAGGAAAATTTAGAGAGTGTGCGGTTGTAACAATTTTTCTCATAAAGTAAATTCTTCTCTGATTGTCTTTGACAACAAATCGTCTTGTGTCTATTTTTATTTCTCAATTATTCTTTTATAATTCTGTGAAGGGAATCCGTATTTTCCCAACAAGATGCACCACAGTGCGTGATTGGTACATAAAGAAACAGATATGAGTAAATAAATTGAAATATGACTTTTAAATACAGTTCCAAACTTCAATTCTTGTGGTGCTTTGGCACCCCGATATTGATATACGTATATATTAATATCAATGAAATCATGAGACCCATAAGAAGAAGAAGAAGAATAAGAAGGCACCCCGATATTGATATACGTATATATTAATATCAATGAAATCATGAGACCCATAAGAAGAAGAAGAAGAAGAAGAAGAAGAAGAGGAGTAAATAAATTGAAATATGACTTTTAAATACAGTTCCAAACTTCAATTCTTGTGGTTCTTTGGCACCCCGATATTGATATACGTATATATTAATATCAATGAAATCATGAGACCCATAAGAAGAAGAAGAAGAATAAGAAGGCACCCCGATATTGATATACGTATATATTAATATCAATGAAATCATGAGACCCATAAGAAGAAGAAGAAGAAGAAGAAGAAGAAGGAGAAACGTGTTTGGGTTTTATTTATTTTGCTTTTACTTTTATGTTTAAGTTTGTTAGATTTTTTTGTTTTGTTTTTTTTTTCTTTTTAAGAAGAAGAAGAAGAAGAAGAAGAAGAAGGAGAAACGTGTTTGGGTTTTATTTATTTTGCTTTTACTTTTATGTTTAAGTTTGTTAGATTTTTTTGTTTTGTTTTTTTTTTCTTTTTAAGAAGAAGAAGAAGAAGAAGAAGAAGAAGAAGAAACGTGTTTGGGTTTTATTTATTTTGCTTTTACTTTTATGTTTAAGTTTGTTAGATTTTTTTGTTTTGTTTTTTTTTTCTTTTTAAGAAGAAGAAGAAGAAGAAGAAGAAGAAACGTGTTTGGGTTTTATTTATTTTGCTTTTACTTTTATGTTTAAGTTTGTTAGATTTTTTTGTTTTGTTTTTTTTTCTTTTTAATAATGTTTTCTCCTTGAAAAAACAAATAACGTATGTTGAGAAGACCATGGAACATCTAGCTAGTAATTCACAAAAATGACGTTCTCATTTGTAGTCTATATAAGCTTTCACATGTTGTAAGATATCTGAAAATATACGTAAACATAGGATATAGAAACATGCCCCCTCTAGCTCAAACAGTTGCGGCTCTTCCTTTAGGCCAATTAGGCAATTGTCTAAGGCCCCAAATAATTAAGGCTCCCTAATAATTAAGAGTTCTAATTAATCATATCTATTTATAAGGGTATTTTATATATATATATATTTTTTTTAAAGAAGAAGTAACAAAATGTTTTGAAAATAACTTTCTCCTTGAAATCTGGGATTTTAATTCTTAGGCTATTGTGCACATAAAAATGCCGCAAACCCATACAGGAGTAGGGTGGGATCTTATCACTAAAACTTTTACATGCTCAGAGGAACTACGGACATCTCTTTACAAGGTAATATGTGTGATTCATTGCTCATCCAGTAGGCATAATAGTTAGAGGGTACACTAAGTGTAAAAAAACTGACCATTTTCATTCAAATTTTGTTAGAGACATCGTGAAGTAAAAACATTTTTCACTCACGGTTGGAAGCTCAATGAGATGTACTTGGCGGCCATTTTCCCTTCAAGAGTTATGGCGTCTGGTTCATGTGCATATCACCCTACCACGCAAGTAGAGCCCAATGGATGATGATGATGTGGGGGATGAACAACCGCGACCCCACCAGAATGCTCCTTACCAAAACAGTGACAATGAGGAGATTCGTACTGAGCTTCGCAATCGCGTGGAATGTTTTGGAAGGCGGATGACATCCAATGTCACCTCATCATCACAAGTGATAAGAAAGAAAAAGATAAGGGCATGCAAATCCAATGACAGTTCACGGGATGAGTTGCTTAATATGGTTAGGGACATACGCGACGATTTGTGAAAGGACATTCGTTCGAGCAAAGAGAACCTGCCGAGTAACAACATTATCAATGGACCAAGTGAAGTGGATATCATCCTAGCGGCGCTCTCAAAAATGGGAATTGACCCGCGTACGCAAGCCCATGCCTTTGAAAAAATAATGGCATCTGTCACGTGGCGGCCAGTTAGGCATAAACTGAGTGATCCCATTAGGAGGGCCTTTTTAAACAACTTCGTTGATGTGCCAAAAACCCCCTTTGTTTATCAAGTGCCTAATCCATATAGCCAGCCGCCTCATAACTTCTCTCCCGGACCAAATCCATACAACCAGCCTCCACAGTCCTTCCACTAACCATCAAACCCCTATAGTCAGCCCCCTAACCCATTCCACTAGCCTCCACCAGCCTTCAATCTACCTAGCCCTTAAACTTTTGGTGCGATGTTTCTACTTATAAAGTTAAGTTATATTAAATGGTCGATTTTCCCTTAATATTAAACCACCGATTAGTGTTTAGTACCATGTTGTCGAGTGTAAGCCTTTTTTTAAGTGAACTAAAACAATTTTCATTCTTTGTTGGTGTACCGGTTTACTTTCATTTTTTGTTGTAGGAGACTGCATTCTATACTATTGTATGAGACTGTGTTGCTGAGTACACCCAGCAAAGTCAGCCGTTTTACATTCATTTGTTTAATTAGTACCATATTGGCGTAACATACGTTTGTATCATGTGAATTAAATTCTCCTTTTCAACCTGAATGCCATCATTTTTGGCTACTGGGACTTTTTTTTCTTCATTTATTTCTCATTTAACTTATTACAATTTTGAGATATACTTTTTTGAATTTAATTTTTTTCTAATATTTCTTTTTTTTAATTATATTTTTTTAAATTACACCTAACGTAATTTACTGCTCCAAAAGTTGGTTCTTATTTTGGTCATGGTTCGAAATCAGAAAATAAGACAACCAAACACTAGTTTGAATCACATTTCAGGTTAGAATCAGAATCATGCATATACACATTCAAACAAAGGTTTCAATCACCATAATTCATGATTCAAATCATAAATCATGATTCTAAATCTAAAGACTCAAATCACTCTAATTTTAATCCTCATACCAAACGCCACCTGAAAATATACGTAAACATAGGATATAGAAACATGACCCTCTAGCTCAGACAGTTGCGGCTCTTCCTTTAGGCGAATTAGGCAATTGTCTAAGGCCCCAAATAATTAAGGCTCCCTAATAATTAAGAGTTCTAATTAATCATATCTATTTATTAGGGTATTTTATAATTTTTTTTTTTTTTTTAAAAGAAGAAGTAACAAAATGTTTTGAAAATGACTCTCCTTGAAATCTGGGATTTTAATTCTTAGGCTATTGTGCACATAAATAGCCTTACTTATCATAGGAAAAGGGAGATAAATACCCCTTTAAGTGTATGAGTCTGAATTTTTATTTCTATATGTTGATTAGTATCCTTTTTAATTAAATATTATATTAGTCAAAAGGGTATTAATCAATAGTAATGAATTAAAATCTAAATCCTCCATTTAATTTAAATGCTGCAAACAATTCGATTTTAAGACCTCAAACGGATTTTTTTATATATAGAGTACGATAATAAGGGGATTATATATATTATAAATCAATTGTCTATGTTCGCTTTAATTACCTTTCTACCAAAACAAATGGCTATGTCATTTACTTATAAATATATACGACATTTATCTACTTTAAATACTAAAAAAAAATAAAAAAAGGATGAAAAAAAGCTTTAATCTTTCTCGAGCCTTGTTTCTGTCTTTACTTATTTTCCTACTTGCTGTTATTAATTTCATTTAAAGAGTTTTTTCTAGTTGATATCTTTCGTTTGTACTTCTTTCTTGTCAATTTAAGTTGATATCTTTCACATAGCTATTTTATTGTATAAATTTCGTTGAAAATAACTTATTAGATAAACTTGAATATAAAGATTAGTTAATAATTTTGCATCTCAAAAGACATGAGAAATAAATTTAAAATATGTTTAATTTATTTTTAATATATTTTAAATGTGTTTCTTTCAAATGGAAAAAAAAAAAGGTCCCTAATTTAAAATTTATGGCACTAATAATCTGCAGGTTATGAAAATGTAATGTGTGGGTTATTTTCCTTAAGGACGTATTTTGTGTAGCAGCATAAATAATAAACTTGAAAAAAATAATTGTTAAACTTGAAATTTTCTCGAAAATCATTTTCGATTAAGGCCTCAAATTAGCTTGAGCTAGCCGGCCTTCTCTCAATTAATTTCAACCTAATAGAAATATATGTAAACTTTCCAGAGTATAGTGTATAATTCTCGCTGCTTATAATTTCATGAAGATACAAAAAAAGGAATATTAATCTACTTTCTGATAATTTGTATTGCATGGCTAAAAGATCTAGTTGTTAGCTTGACCTGTGCGTGCGCGCGTGTGTGTGTATATATATATATGTGTGTGGTTGTGTTTACAATGACATTGAGATCAAGTACAGTACTACAAGATCTCACATATCTTTTGTGATCAATTAGAGCTTCCAACAGATAAGAAGTTAATGAACGGAACACCACTTTTGTTTTGTTGTCCCTTGGCTTCTTGATCAACCTCCTCATCCTCTTTTCTTGCATTATCTATCACTTCACTTCCGTTAGACTCGGCATTTACTTGGAGAAAATCATAAAACTCAATCGGCTGAGCTTTCACTGCAACAAAATAATAGGACATTACGCTTTTAGAAACATGTAAACTCCAACAATATAAATGTCTCATGATCACATAGTTTTAAGCAATACGAATACGTAGTTAATTACATAACAAAAAGTAGGAACAATATAGAGTACTAGATTGTATTTCTATCGTCTGGAGTATTATCAACTTTATTGATCATGTAGAGAAAAAGATTAACTGTGTAATCCAAATATAGAATATGGCAGGGACAAGACTATACATATTAACATGAATGAAATGATTTTAGTCATACCTTGATCATGCATTGTGACGCCCGGACTTGAATCTTGAGCAAAATAGAGGTACTCTTTGGCTGATGAAAGAGGATTAAGAACTGTACTACTAAAAGAGTAGTTATAATTCTCAACAAAAGAAGTTAGATTAGTATTAGTTCTCCTGTCACAATTGGTACCAACAGGAGCATGACTAATTACTATATCTTTTTTCGTTGAAGATTTTCGGTCGCCATTACTAAGTAATGCTTGATGAGCAGCTCTTTTGGCACAGAGCCTTGATCTTTCTCTGCATCTCCGGGCCATGATGACATGCCAATGGTTCTTGACGGCATTATCAGTTCGGCCGGGAAACAGCCTAGCAATTACTGCCCATCTATTCCCATGAATGCAGTGAGAAGCGAGTAGTCGCTCTTCTTCCTCTTCCGTGAAAGGACTTCTGTTAATTCTTGGATCCAATTGATTGAACCATCTCAATCTACAACTTTTCCCTGCACTTACATTAATTTATAATAATTAATTAATTAGCTCAATCAAATCTTATGTATAATCAATAGGGTCTTTTAGCAATATTGAGATCATATCTAGCATTGATTCATGCCAAATCCTAGTTTCTCTGTTTTTTTTTTTTTTGGCCAGAAGAAACCCTAGTTTTTAATTTATAACAATAATAATTGGACATGAATAAAACACACACACATATACATATATGGTGTTGAATGAGATATGATCTCACCTGATCTTCCTTGGAGCTTTTCGGCTATGGCGTTCCAATTATGAGGTCCATATCGTTCCACCAACTCTCGAAGCTTCTCATCTTCTGCAGGCCTCCAATGGCCTCTAGTGCACATGATTTTCCTGAATTAATATATAAGAGTGCTTTTCCCTTTGGATAGTTAAATGGAGGAAACCCTAAAACTACACAGTGGGATTTTTCCTATAGAGATAGCTAGTTTAACCTAGCAGAGAAAGTGGGGAAAAAGAATTGCGGCAACAAAAATCAGAGAGAGATTGAGGCAATAATTGAGATGGAGATGATGAAGAAGAAGAGCTGGTAGATTTAATCAATATTCCTTTAAGAAAATATAAAAAAAGGAAGAAACAAAGAATAAAGAAGATGGGAAAGTGTTTTCCGTTAGAGAGTGGAAAGGGTTTGGACAGACCTTGCACCTGCGACTGATGCAACGTCTTGGCTAACAATAAAAACGCCCTCTTAGCCCCTTTTTATATATACGCACACACATACACATATAGACATGTGTGTGTGTGTGTGTGTATATATATATATATATGACAAAGAAACAAAGCAAGAAAGGGTTGCTTGGTGAGGTGAAATATGGTTCTCCTTTCAACGTCTTCCCTAGTTTCTAACCTACAACGTCTACTTTATAACCCACCTAGCCACCTCCCTTCCCTCTTATTATTACCAATAATATTATTATTTATTTTCCTATATATACACTTATTAACAAATTAACTATGTATATTGCACATTTAATAAAAAGTTATGCTGCACAACATTATTCATGAACTTAAATCCTACCAATTGTTAGATTATTAATATTGGAAATTATATTAGTTAATTAAAACTTTAAAGATCATTTGGTTCTATTTTCATTTAAATGAAAGAATAAAAATTAATGGATTAGAAAATATTAAAAAGGTGGACGTGGAGGTTGGTTATGTTGTTAGACTTAGCGATATTGGATGTTGTACGTACGTGTGAATATTATGTTAACGTTTTAGGTTTTGAACGGCTTTCAGACCTAACTAACAACTTTAGCTTAGAAACCTCAACTGCACGTGGAGACTTGGCTCAGACATATATGTAATGCAACAATAAACATATCCTTTTTCAATAAAGATAAAAAAAAAAAAAAAAAAAAAAAAAAAAAAAAAAAAAAAAAATATAAAAAAAAAAAAGAATCAATAGATCCTTTTATTGCTTTTGGGGTCAAACATCTGGTGTCTTACTTGGCCCTATAGCTGGTTGTTGAATTTGCTGCTTTAAACGGTAAACTTTTATTATTTTTGTTAAATACCCAAATTGATGTCATGTATTCTTTCCATGTCTTTTTTGTCTCATTACCTATTCAATTTAAATTCATCGATCATATCAATGTTATTGTGTCATGTGATGATTAGTATGTAAGTACATTTATTACCAAATGGGGTTAGGGCACTATTGTATAAGTGTACGTATAATAGTTTTCTATGTGTTTTTATATTGTGCGCGGATATAAACATGATAAAATCTTAATACAAAATGCAATTTTATTTTTAGTTTTTCCAATAATTAAAAGTCATATTTTTTATAAGTCGATGAAAGTTTAGACTCTTTGAAAATATGCATATATATACGCATTTTTTCTTTTGATTTAGGATTATTATCATTCATGGCTCTTGAACTTTAGATTCATTTCCAGTTTGCCCCCTGAACCCTAAAAATTCTCACTTTGTTCCTTAAATTTTGAATTGTTCCTACTTAACCCCTTATATTGTAATTTATGTTAAAAACATATTTAAAAAAAGAGAAAAACGCAGTCACGTGGCCTTTCTGTTTGGATTTATGTTAAAAAAAATTGATAAAAACCACAAGACTAAGCTTAACCCCCTATTTTTCCATCTAATTTTAACATAAATTCTTACAAAAGAGCTTAAATGGGACAAATTTAAAATTCAGGAGGCAAAGTGAGAGTTTTTAAAATTTAGGGGCATCAGCAATAATAATCCTTTGATTTATATATTTTCGTGTATATATTCAATAGTTTGCAAAACACATTTATTCATGTAGATAAGAAATTTACTCTTAATAATTTATCCATGTAGATAAGAAATTTACTCTTAATAACTTAATAAATTATTGATCATTTATGTGCAAAAACACACGTAAAGGGGGGAAAATATGAGTAGTGTTACTGAAAATAAATGTCATTTATCATAATTCTCCTAAATTAGAAAACATTTCACTTTAAAAATCAATTTTTCCTTATATTTTTATGATGATAAATTAAATCTTTTGAAATTTTTGTTGATAACTATGTGGCGTTCTGTGTCATTTTCGTAACTAGTAAGGAAGTATCTAGTCGTATTTTGATTAAGCTTAAGAAATATCAGTAAAAAAAATATAAAAAATATGTAGCCAGCTAAAGTAGCAATAGGTTATATATCTTTGTTGGTATTAATAATAAATATATCTTATATTTGTATTCGGCATAGTGATAATTTTACACCAACTTTGACATTGAAGTTTTGAGTTCAAAGCCCGTAAAAACAAATCATCTATCTACGTTAATATTGTTCATGCATACTCCAAGTATTTAATAAAATAATTTTATGGAATATAAAATGAATTCAAAGCGTACATGGAATTTCAATAATATGGTATTCCAAAACGTTGTAAAAGGATTTATTTATTTGATTTTCATATTTCTTATCTAAGCTTATACTGTTTAAAGAGATTTGTAGTTTCTCTTTTATTTCTAAGTTATGTCATGTTTCTGGTCCTTAAATTCTCTTTCCTCTATCCCAGCTGGCCTACGCTCTAAACCTGAAACACGTTATTTTTATGTGATATCCACAAAGAAAATAAATTAATGTTAATCCTGATTACGATTTAAAAGTCAATATTTAATATCGTAATTAGTTGCTAATTGATTAGTGCATTATTATTATCAACACACAATAAAGTATTTATGCCGCACTTTAGGACCAGTTATGTTCTTAAAATTTTTTGTTGTTATAATGTTGTTAACCAGAAGTTGCTATGATTGAAAGCGTAAAGGTGTTTGGTGAATTTTTATTCAAAACTGTTATGAATATCATAAATTCATAAATAGAAATTTAGATATTCGTAAACTATATATAGAATTATTGTGAAGATTTATGATGACAAAAATATATATATTTTAGCACGCATATTTGTAGTTGGTTTTATTTTTATTTTTAAGGTCAAGGTCCATAATATTTTTTCGCCAAAGTATTATAAAAATATATATAAATATAATTTTAATGTTTAAAATATTTTTAAAAACTAAATTACTAAATTTCTTATTTATTATTATTATTTGAAAATTTTTCATTTTGGTACCTGTGTTAGAATTTTTTAAACGTTTAAAATATGTTTAGAAAATTTTAAATTATTTGTTTTTATTTATAAATGATGTGGATAGAAATGATATTTTACGTCCCAAAAAGTGGCTCAAGATACCTAAAAACATTTTCTAAAATTTCTAAGTACTCGTATGAAATTATAAAAAAAACACAGGTACCAAACTTATATTTTCGATATAAACAAGGTACCAAAATAAAATTTTTCCTTTTCATTTTACACATTTTGATAACTATTAAAAATATTTGAGTAAAATTTAAAATACATTATTTATTAAATATTTTCCATTTTTACATAAATATTTAAATATTCTTTATAAATTTGTTATAAAAAATAAATGGAGAGATTGAGAATTAAGTTTTATTATTAAGATTATTTTATTAAATTTGTATAATGACAGTAGAAACTGCAGTGCAAAAACATCTAGCGACTCGTTTCTTAAATTCTACTATTGGACAATAATTTGTAGAACCTACTGGCTAGAAGTAGGATTTACAAAATACCGCAACACATATTGTAACTCAAAAAAAAAAAAAAAAAAAAAAAAAAAACCTTAAAAAAAAACCCAAAGGCC